GTACTCAGGTTTTTCCCTTCTGCATGCCTCGTTGGATATCAGTGGTAATTCCACATACTGGAGGATATTTGAAGCTAAAACACCCAAGAACTTGTCAATTAATATTTTTTACCAAATTTTCAACAAATCACTTACTTGTCCTCTTCTTCCTCTGTTGCCTGGTGTCGCCCCAACCGATGACGATGCAAGTGTCACTCAATTCGGTCAAATCTTCGGCATTGTTAGTGATTGTGGGAGTTGCATATTTTATCAATCGGACGTAGTCATCTTCGGCGAAATTCGAACTGGTCTGAAATAGTTGGAAGACAATTTTAAGGCAATGTTTAGCAATAATTGTAAGAACAGCTGTGGATGGTTTACAGTTGCATTTATTTGTTATAAGTCTTGTAACTTCCAAACTAGGGGTTTAATTTAGATAGTGTATTTGGTGAATTTGGACAAAATTATTTTTGCCGACAATACTGTCTTGTGTCATAATGTTCTAGATTAACTCGGTATATTTTAAAATCGCATTTGAAAATCGTGTACTGTACTTAAAGTAAGTGCAAAGACATTCTTGTGACGTTACTGACTTGTCTGCACTGTGCATTTATTCATTAGAACTCTTGTAACTTCTAAACCAATTATTTAATACTAATAGTGTTTTTGGTGAATATGTAGAAAATTAAATTATCTACAATACTGTCTTTTAGCATAATGCCCTAAAGTAACTCAAAATTGCAATATACTAGAATGAACGAAACTATAAAAAAAACTTTCTTAGGCTCTTTACAAATTATAACTTTTGTTGTAGTTAACGTTTCCTACTCACGTTATTGTAAATATCTGGAAAATTTGTTAGAAGACTCATCGATTTTAGTATTTGGTGTCATAAAAGACATAATGAAGAATGACATATTAAACTTACAGAATTCTGGAACGAGCAAAACTATTTTTAAAAAAAATTAAAACTTTCTTAGGCAGGCATTAAGAATAACCATTTTGTTGTCAATGAAACCTACTCGTATTATTGTAAATATTTAAAAAAATTGTTAGAAAACTTATTGATTTTAGTATATAGTGTCATAATAGACACATTGAGGAATAACATATTAAAATAAGAATATTCTGGAACGAGCAAAATTATTTTAAACAAAATTTAAACTTTCCTAGGCATACATTAAGAATAACCATTTTGTTGTCAATGTAACCTACTCGTATTATTGTAAATATCTAGAAAATTTGTTAGAAGTCTCATCGATTTTAGTATTTGGTGTCATAATAGACATATTGAGGAATAACATATTAAAATTTCAATATTCTTAAATAAAATTGATAGTTATATAATATCATTTTACTCGTCAAGCTCATCAAAATTCATATAGTACGTAGTTCTTCAGTAACTTTTGTCATTTATATAGATTTTGTTAATTATCTTGTATTGTTTTAAAGAAAACCTATTGATTTTATTAATTGTTATCAAAACATATATATTTAAGATTAACAAATCCAAATTACAGCAATCTAGTACAAACGGTACGTCCTAAAGAGCTCGTTAAAAATAATTGTTCATACAGTACGTTGTTGTTTATTAACTTCCTTACTTTATTTAGATTTTGTTGATTGCTTTTAAAGACCAAGTACAAGTTTATAAGCGTGCATTGCTTTATTAAATCTCTTGTAACTTCCAAACCATTCGATTAATATATAACTGGTATTCGGCAAATTTGTGCAAAATTAAACAATCTATAATGTTGACTAATATCTCAAACCCTACAGCAACTCGGTATACTCATAAATAGCAATCAAAAACTTACTGCATGCATGCAAAAAGTTGTACCGCTCATCACTTGTTTTTCCACTATGACCACGTGCAACTTGCCGATAGGCATTTTTCGAACAACAATTTTGCATGTGACATATCAAATGAAAGGTCTTGAAGAGCACAACACGAATCTAATATTTATTTTTATTTATTACATCACACAAAAAATATAAAATTTAGGATTAGTGCAAAGCTAACAAGATGGTAAAGTGCAACTTGCCTAAAGGCACTTTTTGAACAGCTTTTGGCATGTGGCATATCAAATGGAAGGTTTTGAAACGTATATTACGAATATAATATTTGTTTTTATGTTATACGAAAAATGTTAATGTAGCACCCAAAAAATATCATTGAAGGACACAAACAAGGTTCACAAAGGGTAATAGAGATTTGATGCTTTGGGGATATATATATAATATTATATATATATATATATAATATATATATATATTATTACCTTGATCATTCCAATATCATTATAAACCCCTCGATCTTCCCTAAATTCCAAATGAACCACCAGCAATTTCGACGGTGACCATTGTCCTTTGGTAAGATAGTTGGTCGAAACGTCTGTCTCTCCTGCCAAAACCGTCAAGGCTTCAACACTTGGTATAAAAATAAATTAATTTATATATAACACATGTAGTTGTTTTATAATAAAATATTTTCAATATTATACAAGTGTTTTGGGTATAAAACAAACCTTTCCTGTGCCAAACAATGAGCAGCGGTCAGCACCCAGTTGACTTTGACTAAAGATCCTCCACAAAAGTGCGAATAAAATTTCAAAATAGCAACCTACGGTAATAAAAATGATAAGTAAAATTTTAATAGTGAAAGGTGCAGGTTTAAAAAAATAATCAGATTATTTATTTTATATCGTCACGTATATTTGTGATACTTATTTTATTAAAGCACTTTCAAACGTGAAAATTAATTACAACAAGTTTTTGGATATTTTTTATAAAATCAAGTATCGTGTATAAGTCGCCTATAGTTTATTGGTTGCATGCATAAATTCACAAGCCAAAAAATAAATAAAAACAATTATTGAATGTTGTATGCCATTCAAATGTTTTATTTAAATAAACATTTGAATATAAAATAAAATCAACGATGCAAATTACATGCATGAAATTTTGTAGTGAAGAAGGAAAAGTATTTAAATAAAATATTTTGGTTAATTTTATATGTACCATCAATATGTTTATTAATTGAATTTTATATTGATTTAATAATTAAATAAATTATTAACTTACCACGAAGGGAAATTTATCAATAGTTGTTTTCTTTCCACCGACGATAAATCCTTTTCTCTTGTTTTTATTAATCATCTTTGAGGAATTGTTGCTTGAATTTTCATTATCCTTTCAAAATGCAAAATAAACAATTATATAATACATAAAACAACTATGTGTTAATAACAATTAGATTAAAATAGTCTAAAAAATTCTGTATACATACAGTTGCACTTTCAGTTAAAAGTTTAGTACTTTCAAAAGCGATTTTAAAGTACACCAAATTGCTGTAGGCCATTATGATGTTAGAAAATATTGTTGAGTATTCAATTTTGAATAAATTTGCTGAATATTTCATTTATTTTAAGCGAATCGTTAAGAAGTTACATTAAATTTGCGAGTCAATACACAAAAGTGCTGTTTAGGCTATGAATAATGCATAAAGTCTATATAAATCCATGTGTACTAGTTATATAATATAAAACCTCGTAACAAAAATGATATTTTGCAACAATTTATTACCTGTTACCGTTTTTTTTAAATTGTAACAGAATTGTATGACCCAAAGCGTTGATTTGATCTAATTTGGAAATATCATATTATTACCTCATAATCGTCATTATGTCTTGCACCAATTGTATTATTCAATTTTCCTTGTTTTTGCATTTTATCAAGAATGGAATTAAATTTTTTGGCATTTTGTTTCATTTCCAAGCTTGAACCATTTTTATTATTTTTATCGTGAAAATCACCGTATGGTAAAAATAGTATTAAAAATAAAATGTATATATTCATTTTAAAAAACTAAATTAAAATTAAGTTTAAACTACTAACAAAATTTTAAAAGATTTTGACAATGTGTTTTGTTTGGAATTTTGAGATTTTAGTCATCATGGAAAAATGTCACAATAGTAAAAATATAATTTAAATTTTTAATTTTTCAAAGGAGATGTTTATGATTTTGCCCAAAAGTCCGATTTCCTAATTTTATGTTTTCTAGACGTTTGAAGTCATTCTAAATCAAATAGAACCAAATTTGAAAAAACTGTGTATGTGGGCTATTTTTGGCTTTCGTCAACGTTTTCTCAAAAACGGCTGAACCGATTTCAAAAATTTAAAAACCATTAGATGTAACTCGATAAGGACTAGCGTTTGTCAGTTTTGTGCGGCGATCAGCTGAGCCGTTTCTTTGTATTAACAGATAAGTACAAAAGTGTACGAGTACGTTTTAGCAAAAAATCCTGAATCGATTTTCAAAATTCAAAAACTGTTCGAAAGATATTGTTTGAGATTGATACTGATTAGTTTTGGACAAAGATCGGCCTAGCAGTTTTATCGTAATTAACTGTTAAAAAAAATTTTTTGGATGATTTTTATAAAACTTTTTCTGATCATGGTCTTATACTAAAATATTGTAGTCTTACGAAAAGTGGTTGAATTATGAAAATTAATTAAAATTTAAATGTATTAGAGGCGTTTTTATTTTGCAATAATGTGGAATTAAAAAAAATGTATTCATCTACAATAATTTTTTATATCATAATGCCATACAGCAACTCGGTATACTTATAAATCACTCGTAAATTAATATATTGATATCTTGTTAACTAAGTCGGTATTTAGTTAACCACACAAGTCATGCAACTTGCCTTAAGGCAAAATGCTATCTACAACTAGTTAAAATCAACCTTGTTATAACCTTTAGCAAATATTCATAAACTGGTGAATATTTTTTGTTAGAACTTGCTAAATTGCAGAATGATGAGACACATTTATATTATCTATTGTTATTTTTATTTGGAGTATTTTGCTGCAAATAAACATTTCAATATAAATATATATATATATATATATATATATATTATAATTTCAATTACATTAGACTATTCCATTGCTGATACAATAAATGCAACCACAAAAACAATAGAATTCAGTTTGTTTGCATCGGAAGTAATCATCCGTACAGATTTTCCATCAGTCCTGATGGCATCTTTTATCCAGCTCGTATACTTGTCAACTCTGGTGTAGACACCAGGAACATCTTTCCTGGCACAACCTTCACCAAAAGCAATAATACCCTGGACAACATATTCACCATTCTGTTCCCAAACTAGAGGTCCACCAGAATCACCCTGGTAATAGATAATGAATAAAATGATGAAGGGTTAAAAATTGTTTTGTGGCACTTTGGTTAGATTTGTAAATCTCCATGCACGAAAGTTTTGAGTGTATCTAGATCAGGTTTTTGAAATCTACAGATTGTTTTACCAAAATTTATCAACTAAATTGTTTACACAAATAAATTTCAATTACAAAACAGGCATCTTTTCCTCCAGCTTCGTACAAGGTGCAGAAGTGATCCTTCGTAATATTCAAAGAAGGTCTTAAGTTTTTGCATTTCGCGTTCGATATCAATGGTAGTTCCACATAATGCAGGTTAGGTGAAGCTAAAACAGATAGTATATATATATATATATATATATATATATATATATATATATATATATGCTAGATGACCCGACAGACGTTGTCCTGCACCCACATCTACTTTTTTTAATATCCTATACTAATATTTACCGTTCAATTAAAAATAATAATTATTGATTTTCGAATTACTATATACACAAATATATGAGTGATGTTAAATGTAAAACTGCTTCAAACAAAATAATGATGATTCTCAATTCCCACAGTTAACACTTTAATTATCCCTTTAACTAATTTTAAAATATGTCCAATAAAATTGTATATAAAAAATTATACACTGCAATTTATAGAACAAATTTATTTCCAATAGCTCAATTTATTTTAATGCCAAGTGCTATACAATATTTTTAGTCATACCTGTAGACGAATGATTTTTTGTTTATTCACGACTAAAACATTGATTTTCCAAATTTATCACACAAAAAATCATCGTCTGCCTTTGTGATTTATAGCATAAGATATACGTATTGGAAACTAAAGTCTTTTAAAAAGTATAACAAATTCAAAAAGAATTAATATATAGCATTTGCGATAAAGGTACAATATTGTCACTTTGGATTTTTCTACCCAAAATAATTGCATCAATAATGTTGCCTATAATTTTTATAATTTTGTACCATATTTTAAATGGCTTTTAGTAATTTTAATATCTTAATTACATTTTTCCCACCAATAATTAAATATACATTATTACTTAAGTTCATATTTGAAGTGAATTAATTTGTCAAATCCTGTTCACATGTGCTCTATTCAACCTACGATCAACAAAATTATTGCAGTAAATGAAAAGAAAAAAAACGTGTGCCCTGTGATTTTTTTACTGTGCTCCAATTTGCATGATATTTTGGAAATAAGCTAATCTAAATCTTAAGTTCAGAAGTGAAAACAACTTGCACTCCGTCACCATCCCCGCATTAATTGGATTATAACTCTTTTAATTCTGATTTTATCAGAACTTGTACTATACTATTTTAAAGGTAATTAAATGAGCTACAACTTTCTCTATGATAAATTTTACCGTAACTGCTCTTATTTTGAAACGGTGAAGGGTTAAAGGGCTTGAAAGACACTCTGGTTTACAGCCGCGCACTCTTTAAACAATCATAACTCTATCAATATTTGTGTAACAGAAAAATAATAAAAAGCAAAAAAATAGTCAGAAAAAGACCTTGAATTTTCATCTGTATACCTGTAAACGTATCTTTTATTCTTTCAGAGATATAATAATAAAAAAATTGTTATTTCTTTAAATAGATTTTTTTTCATGAAATCATGAGTTTTTTGAAAATCGTTTGTACTAAAGTTGTGGTATTTTCCAGAATCCATCAAGATCTCTTAAACCAAGTTAATTCTAGATGGAATATGATTATTTTTAATTTTGGTGGAAATGGCACTCATAAACTATTTGATTTAAATGAAAAAAAAACATTGTATGCGTCTTTTATTTGCATGATAGATCAATAATTTTACACGCAGAAGTACTCATTTTAAAGCTTATTTCGAGCACTATAAAACCCGATTTTTATATCTAGCCTAATATTGTTCTTAGAACACTTCATAAAACGCTGATTTATTAAGATTTTAATTGATATAAATTACCTTAATTTAAGTTAATTTAATGGAAATATTTGGCAAATGACAGTCTTCATTTGTTTTTAATGTCAAAATATGCCTCAAATACTTTCAATATCAATCAATGATAAGCGGTTTTTTGTAATTTTTTCCATTTATTTCTACAATCTAACTATATTTCTATGAATCAAAAAATCCTAGAAAATTCTCTTAACAAACTTCAGGAAGGTTTATGAAAATCCGAATAATCGTTTAGGAAGATTAACCTTTCATACTGCATTACAGAAGAATTTTATATATTAAATATATATATATGGCTAACAAAAACTGTTACACTTTTTTACAAATTGTAAAGAAATGGCTCAGCCGATCGTATCAAAAAGCTAACCAACGCAAGAGTGTTCAACAAGTTTGATCGAATGGCTTTTAAATTTTAAAATCTATGACAAAATATCGACATACATACATACTTTGCGCTGCCTTTTGCTGCCTGGTATCGCCCCAACCCATGACAATGCCAGTATCACTCAATTTGGTCAAATCTTCGACATTATTGTTGATCTTTGGAGTTGCATATTTTATGAATTGTACAAACTTATTTTCCACAAAATTGGAACTGGTCTAAAACAAATGGAAATAGAAACACATTTACTTCTACTCCGAAATGATTTATCTGAAGGCAGACAATGGAAATGAAAGGCGGTAAATGGAAAGTTCATATTTGAAGTGAATAAATTTGTCAAATCCTGTTCACATGTGCTCTATTCAACCTACGATCAACAAAATTATTACAGTAAATGGAGAGGAAAAAAGTGTGTGCCCTGTGAATTTTTTTACTGTGCTCCAATTTGCTTGATATTTTAGGAATATGCTAATTTTAATTTTATATCAAATGTATAAAAAAATTTGCTCAGGGGAATATATCAGTAATACAAGGTCAGCAGTAAATGTGTTAATAAACACTAATAATATTAATAACACTAAATAAATAAAGTTTGGTAGGATATACATCATTTATAAGAGAATTGTTCATGATGAACTGAATTTGAACTTTGTGACCAGAAAGGGTTCAAAGAAAGCAGGGATGCAATGACTAACTATTTGGTTTATATATATATATATATATATATATATATATATATATATATTTATATATATTATACCTTTATCAATCCAATATCGTCAACAGTTTTTCTATAATTAGGATGATACACCAGCAATTTCGGCAACGACCATTGACCCTGAGTAAGATGATTGACGTCGACTTTGTAGTCGGTTTCTCCGGCCAAAATCATCATGGATTTAATACTTTGAATAAAAATAAATTTACTTATGAATAACACATATGTTGTAATATATTTTAAATATCATACAGTGTTTTTGTATAAAACAAACCTTTGTTTTTCCACACAATGTGCTGCCGTCAGCACCCAATTTGGAAGAATCAAAGATCCTCCACAAACTTTCGAAGGTGCACTAAATATTAATATACAAACCTATTGTAAAATAAAAATGATAAAACAAAATTTTAATTAAAAAGGTGCAGGTTTAAAAAATAATCAGATTATTTATTTTATATCGTCACGTGTATTTGTGATACTTGTTTTATTAAAGCACTTTCAAACGTGAAAATTAATTACAACAAGTTTTGGATATTTTTTATAAAATCATAGTATCGTGTATATGTCGCCTATAGTTTATTGGTTGCATGCATAAATTCACAAGCCGATAAAATAATTAAAAACATTTAATGAAAGTTGTATGCCATTCAAATGTTTTATTATAAATAAATAAACATTTGAGTATAAAATAAAATCAACGATATAAATTACATACATAAGATTTGGTAGTAATGAAGGAAAAGTAGTCAAATAAAATGTTTTGGTTGATTTTATATGTATTATAAATACGTTTATTAATTGAATTTTATATTGATTTAATAATTATATAAATTATTAACTTACCACGAAGGGAAATTTATCAATAGTTGTTTCCTTTCCACCGACGATGTGTCCTTTTCTCATGATTATATTATCATCATCCCTTCCAAAATAAAACTATTTATTCAATAATTGAAACAATTATGTTATTAAAAAAAAAATTCAAGAATTTTCAAAAATTAAATTAAAATACTCTAATCAAATTCTGTATACATGCAGTTGCACTTTAACTGTGCATCTCACATAAAAGTACAAGAATTTTCTTCAATATTTTTGAGTTTCTAAAGCGATTTTAGAGTATACCGAGTTGCTGTAGGACATTATGATGTAAAAAAATATTGTTGAGTATTTAATTTTGTACAAATTTGCTGTATATTTCATTTATTTTAAGCGAATCGTTTAGAAGTTACATTGAATTTGCCAGTCAATACACAAAAGTGCTGTTTAGGCTATGAATAATGCATAAAGTCTATGTAAATTCGTGTGTACTATTTATATATCAAACCTCGAAATAAAAATGATATTTTGCAACAATTTATTTCTTGTTACTGTTTTTTTTAATTGCAACGGAATTTTATGACCCAAAGCGTTGATTTGATCAAATTTGGGATTCTTTAAGACCCCAAAATATCAAATTATTACCTCATAATCGTCATCTTGTCTTGCATCAATTGTATCAATTGATTTTCCTTGTTTTTGCATTTTATTAAGAATGGAATTAAATTTTTTGACATTTTGTGTAATTTCCAAGCCCGTACCATTTTTATTATATTTATCATAAAAATCACCGTAGGGTAAAAATAGTATTAAACATAAAATGTACATATTCATTTTACAAAACTAAATTGTTAGTTTAAAATTAAGTTTAAACTACTAACAAAATTTTAAAAATTTTGACAGTGTGTTTTGTTTGAAATTTTAGGATTTTAGTCGCCTACGTTATTATATAAAAAATGTCACAATTAATTGAATATTTATGAAAAATTTAAATCAATTTTTGTTAATTTATTTTTCTAAAAAATGTTTAAAGAACAGTCTAATTTAAATAAAATTTTGATTTATAAATATATATATGTACAACATAATTTTTAAATTTAATTTTTTAAAATGCACATTTTTCAAACCATTTTAATTTTAATACTAATTTTACCGTGCGGAGATTTTGAGGATAAAATTAATAACCAAAAAGACACAGACTTGGAAATGATACAAGAAGTCAAAAAATTTAATTTCGTTCTTGGTTCAATGCAAAGACAAGGAAAATTTTTTGAAACAATTCGTACAAGACAAGATGATGGGAATGAGGTAATAATTTTATATTTTGGGGTCTTAAAGAACCCCAAATTTGATCAAATCAACGCTTTGGATCATAAAATTCTGCTGCAATTAAAAAAAACAGTAACAGGAAAAAAATTGTTGTAAAATATCATCTTTATTTCGAGGTTTTATATATTAACAGTACACACGGATTTATATAGACTTGTTGCATTATTCATAGCCTAAACAGCACTTTTGTGTATTGACTGGCAAATTTAATGTAACTTCTAAACGATTCGCTTAAAATAAATGAAGTATTCAGCAAATTTGTTCAAAATTAAATACTCAACAATATTTTCTAACATCATAATGCCCTACAGCAACTCGGTATACTTTAAAATCGCTTTTTAAAAGTACAAAAATTGATCCCAGCGCGCACACGTATTTATCTCTTACATCGACTTGACTAGTGAACAAATTCATTCGTGACTATTTTTAGTAAATATCTTATAACCTTAAAACTGTTCTTCCAATATTAATAAAATATTCGGCAAAATTATGCAAAATTAAATAATCTAAAGTATTTTCTAACATCATAACATCTTATAACAACTCGGTATACTCATAAATCGCTATAGAAAATCAAAAATATTGTAGAAAATTCTCAGATTTTTCATGGAATATACACAGATAAAGTGCATGTATACAGATTTTATTTAGAGTATTTTAATTTAATTTTTATCAGCAACATAGTTGTTTCAATTATTATATAATTGTTTATTTTGTAATTTTTAAAGTATTTTGAAAATACAACTAAGAAACCCAGGAAAAAAAGTGTTAAAAACAAAAGAAAAGGAGTTATCGGCGGCGGACAGGAAACAACTGTTGATAAATTTCCCTTCGTGGTAAGTTTAAAATTTATTTAATTATTAAATCAATATAAAATGCAATTGATAAACGTATCTATGATGCATATAAAATCAACCAAAACATTTTATTTGACTATTTTTCTTTCATTACTACCAAATCTTATGTATGTAATTTATATAGTTGATTTTTTTTATATTCCCAAGTTTATTTAAATAAAACATTGGAATGACATACAACATTCAATAATTGTTTTTATTAATTTCATTGGCTTGTGAATTTATGCATGTAACCAATAAACTATAGGCGACATATACACGATACTTGATTTTATAAAAAATATCCAAAACTTGTTGTAATTAATTTTCACATTTGAAAGTGCTTTAATAAAACAAGTATCACAAATATACGTGACGATATAAAATAAATATTCTATTTATTTTTTTAAACCTGCACCTTTTGTTATTAAAATTGTCCTTTATTATTTTTATTACCATAGGTTTCTATATTAAAAAATTTCTTCCACCATTGTGGAGGATCTTTGATTAAAGTGAACTGGGTGCTGACTGCAGCGCATTGTTTGGCAGATGAAAGGTTTGTTTTATACCCAAAACACTTGTATAATATTTAAAGTATTTTTTATATAGACAACTATATGTGTTATATATAAATTAATTTATTTTTATACCAGTGTTGAAGCCTTGACGGTTTTGGCAGGAGAGACAGACGTCTCAACCAACTATCTTACCAAAGGACAATGGTCAGAGTCGAAATTGCTTTTGAATCATTTCGATTTTGGAAAAGGGAGCCATGGTCGAGATGATATTGGAATGATAAAGGTAATATATGTATATATATATATATATATATATATATATATAAGCCATTAACCCGAAAGCATCAAATCGCTATTACCCTTTGTGAACCTTGTTTGTGTCCTTCAATGATATTTTTCGTATGCTACATCTACATTTTTCGTATAAAATAAAAACAAATATTATATTCGTAATGTACGTTTCAACACCTTTCATTTGATATGTCACATGCAAAATGCTGTTCGAAAAGTGCCTTTAGGCAAGTTGCACTTTACCATCTTGTTAGTTTTGCACTAATCCTA